AGAAGAAGGCAGGAAACAGCCTAGGGGCCTGCTGGGGAGGGCCTCGGGGGGGCTCTGCCATGCGGACTATCCGGGTGGACGCTGAGACTTATGGCCGATGGTCGGGCGGAGTGCATGGAACTTATGTAAGAAGTGGGAAATAGGATCTGGAGAGGACAGGAACTCCACAAGGAGAGCAACAGAACCAGAAAATTTGAACACAGGGGTCTTCCCAGAGACTCATACCCCAACCAAGTACCAGGCATAGAGATGGCCTAGGGCCCCTGCGCAGATGTGGTCGGTCCATGGCAGTTTAGTGTCTAAGTGGGTTACATGGTGAAGGGAGGAGGGACTGCCTCTGGCATAGTCTGGTTGGCCTGCTCTTTGATAACCTCCCCTGAGGGGAGGGCCAAGAAGGATGACAGTATGGCCACTCCTGATGTGATCTGGTGGACTGGGATTGGAGGGAAGGGGAGGAGGGCCTTCCCTATCCTTCCCTATTGGTGGACTTGGGGAGGGGCATGCGTGAGGGGGGGAGGGAAGGGGGTCCTGGGAGAGGAGGAGGGAGGGGCTTATGGGGAGATGCAGGGTGGATAAAATGTAATTAATAAAAATTAAAGAAAAAACTTGAAAAAAAACCACAACAAAAAATAAAACAAAAACAAAAAACCCACTGCATTTCAATTACTTGCTGCACTGTTGCATGAGGAAAACAGATATTCTGCACCAAGATTCAGAAGTTCCCGATGGCCTAGGAAACTAGGGAGGAAGGGAAAAAGAAGGTGAGGAGGAGAGTCTTCACCCACACAAAGAATGATGACTCTTTCTGCTTACTCGGGGATTTAAAGGGTCAGTTCTCTTCAACATATCCATTGAAGACACCTATGTGTTATATTATTCTCAGCAATTTTAAGACCTTTCCTAAAATTCAAAGGGAAAAATGGTAAATTTATCAATAACTACTGTGCCACAGCACTGCCAGATTAGCTAGCATGCTTTGGCTCAAGTAACTGTTAACTGTGAGTAATCAATAAGTACAAGGCAGAAAACCTTTAAATCTTAGAGTCTAAGATAAAAAAAGAAGACCATATTTCTGTGTATCTTTAGTATGAATATATTTATAAGTATATATATATGTATAAGTATATATAGTTATACTAAAGACACAGTAACCAAACACAGACAGTGAAATAGAAAACATCAAATTCCTTTCTCGGGTTCTAAGGAGAATCATAGACTTTCATCTCAGATGAGAACACTAAGTACTAAGTCAAGGTGGGAACACTCCTTTAGCTTTCAGACACCAACACCAGACAGCAATGAGCTTTTGCATACTTTTAACTGAACAACTGTGATAAGGCATCCAATCCGAGCCCTGGAAAGTCTTCTTGCCGAGATTATCTCTTTCTGATCTAATCAAGACAAACATCAAAAGAATGTAAATTGTTTTACAAGTAGGTGTCAATTTCTTCTTTTTGAATGGGCAAGAGAGACTTTGACAAGGAGGTGGCACACATTCCCCAAGAGCACAGGCTACACTTCTGCCTTCCTGCAAGGCTGGGTTCTGAAGGTGGAAGGTTAGCATTCACAGAAGACTGGCAGGGCTCCATCAGTGAGAACAGACACGCAGCATGGCCACAGATGGCCATGTATGGAGCTGGCTGGTTTTGCTAGTCACATGTTTGATGCAGTCACGAAGACTCAGATTTCTGTAAGAAGCAAAGGCTATGGATGGGTGATTTGCCAGAGAACTCTGTCCCCTTAAAGATGTTCAGATATTTTCAAAATCCCTTATTCTTACAGAGAATGGTGAGTGAAGAATGACACAGAACAGTCTGAGCCAGGGGTTCAGAAGGGAAAGGCCTCCCTCATCTCTTTCAACCAATGCCTCTCCACAGGCTGGGCCTAGGGAAATCTATGTGCATCAACAAACGTAGACTAGACCTTCTGACAGAATCACCTTGGATGACCTGGAGTTGTAGATTTTAACAGGGGTTGTTTTAGAATAAAAGGATCACACTTTTTGCCTTCTTGGATGAGATAGCTGCTGTCTAAGGAAACATGCTCCTGGACATCAAATAGACCACTCAGGTGCCAGGCAGCTGTGGGTTTGCAGTCAGCTAAAGCATAGCTGTAGTACATCTGTCACGGAGAATGCCACACACGGGAGCACTTCAGACTTAGAGCAAGAAAAGCCATGCCTCTCAAGAGAAAGGCTTTCCAAATTAAAGCAGTGTATCAGCATTGTGAGCTGCATCGAGCAGGTGAAGACATGGAGGCTCCGCAGCCTGCCAGGAATGAGAGCTCTGATTAAAGGTCACGCCGTGCTTCAGGTGCTGCCTCCTTCTGTTCTTCCTTCATCTCCACAAACCTGTCTAGTCTCATTTGTTGGTGTCCCCAGCCCTCCATTTCTTCTTCCTCTTGTTTACAAGGAGCTGCTCTCTCAGTGTGGTGTCCCTCAGCAGGGTTTTCCTTCCGGAGCGCTGTGTGGAGACATCTGCATCCCTCACCCTCTTCTTTCTTGGGACCAGAGCTATACCTGTCCCTTCGTGAAATGCCTACACTCTAGCTAACCACCACCACCTTGCCCCTGCCCAGCTCAGACCTGCAGCTGTGGCCTACTTATTAGCCTCCTGCTCTAACTGACTGAGTCAACTAGCTGGGAAATGCTCTTTTTCATTTGCAAAGTGTAATCACTAATTAGGTAACTTTCAGAGTTTCTGGAGCAGTTATTTAGGGGAAATTCTAAATCTAAAGCAAAGGAGAGGAAAGATGAGGACAATGTGTGTAAGATCCAATGTGAAGCCATAGAGATAAATAAGCCCAGTACTGCAAGTGGAGTACGGGAAGAACATTTGCAAAGATGCAAAGAACACATTTAGGAAAGAACTTACTTCTAAGTTGATTTTTCTTTTGTACCAGGGATCAAACTCAGGACTGTATGCATGCTGGACTACACTGCAAACCTAGGTCATTTCTTTTCTATTATTGTTGCTGTTGTATTAAGACAGGGTTTCACCATACAGCCCAGGCTGCTCTCAAACTTAACCCTCCTGCCTCCGCCTCTTGATGCATAAGATTTCAAGCACACAGGGCTGGAGTGGGTAAGCTTAGTGGTTAAGATCACTGGCTGTTCGTTTAGATTCTAAAGGAATCTAAAATTTAGATCTCAGTTCAATTCTCCGCCCCCACAGAGTGACTCCCTATCTGTAATTCCAGGTCCAGGGGATCCAACTCTGTTTTCTGACGTCTGCAGGTATCAGACATACATGCAAGCTCATGCACATAACATTAAACACGCATATGCATAACATTTTTAAAGATTATAAGCATGCACCATTAAGATGAATTTCTTATTAAAAATTTCCATTTTCATATATATGAAATGGATGGACATAGTATTGAATTGATCTACTATTTACAAGTGTGATCTCCTGGTGGTGAATCATGGGATACCTGGGAAATCTGATGTAGAGGTATTTTTACAGACTGATTATCTTTCCACTGCCTGAGAGGAGACACTGCAGAAACCAATGTTTGGCTTCCCAGTCATCAAAATGCATCCATTACGAATGGTCTAGGTAACTGCCCTGTGAAGAGGGGATGTTCTTCCAGAGAATTAGAGTTCGAAGTGAGAGTTTAGATTGAGGGATAGAAAGAGTTTCACTCAAAGATAAGTCTTTATTATTCCCAAAAGACCAAAGATGTCATTTGTCT